CAGTATGAACAGTCTTCGCTGGCCATTGAGGAGGGACAGAGGGCTAATATGGGCTTGTCCTAAATACTGTGATGTCGAGTCTTTACTCAGTTGAACTGAGATTCTCAAGCGTATTCCCACCCTTGGTCGGCTCTTACGACATTCTGATAGGCTGCAGAATTACTGTTCTTTGCTTAGTAGGAGGGCCCCTGTAATACACATGCGACAAAGAGATGTGCCACACACACACACAATGTCGTTCTCATTCTAGTGAGGAAGAAACTATGACGATCATGTATGCAGAACAGGAGATAAATAACGAGCACGGCAGGCATGGGAGGCCAAGAACCAGGGAAACAATCCACCAGGATGACCCAGGATTCGCTAGGAAGTTATCATCCGACAGACTCTGGCTGACAGAGGACTGGAAGAATAAACTCACAGGGAGCAAGGAATTGAGCAAAGGTAGAAAGATAGTTGCTGAAAGAAAAGTCTGGCGATCACTCGAGCAAACCTCTACGCCCCAAGGTAGAAGAGAAGCGATTAAGTCTGTAAGAACCATGATGAAGATGAATAAAAGAAGTTCTGATGGATCTACTCATAAGTGTAGATAGGAAAAATACCATTATTTTGAAGAAAAAAAATCGACGCGTGCCTTCCGCTGCTGAAAAATACAGCTGGAGTTATGCTTATAACGGCGTTGGCTCCCAAAATTCGCATATGATAGGAAACTGAATGAGGATCTTAACAGTAAAGAAATAATTATGAGTTGAGTTTAGTTGAGTTGATTCAAGAACCGACATCACAGCACTGGGTGCATTCACATAAGCGCTCCAAGAAATAATTATTTAGACAATTAGTCTGTCTCTTGCAGCATAAGACAACTCCAATAAGCACAAAGAAATATACATACCCTATTCATTCCAGCTCTATGTTATCAGTGCCAGACATGGCCATTCACGACAAACCAGAACATAAAATTAGTAACCACATAAAAAAGATGCATGAGAAGGGCTGCAGGAGTGACTAGAAGAGACAAAATCAGGAATGAGGCCATAAGAGAAAAACACGGCACAGAACCATTTCTAAATTACATGCAAAGACAGCCAATCAAATGGTCTGTGGCGCCATACTATACAAGGCATACACAAGCAGTTTAGAATTTCATGGCCAAGACAGACGGATAACAAGATGGAACGATAACATCAGAGAAGCTCTACAACAACACGATGGGTCTATAGTCGAGGTGGCCAGAAGAGCAATAACCAAAACTTTATACTGTACGTGTATCTCCCTCGACACCCGAAGCAGCAAAGGAAGAAGAAGAAGAAGAAGAAGAAGAAGAAGAAGAAGAAGAAGAAGAAGAAGAAGAAGAAGAAGAAGAAGAAGAAGAAGAAGAAGAAGAAGAAGAAGAAGAAGAAGAAGAAGAAGAAGAAGAAGAAGAAGAAGAAGAAGAAGAAGAAGAATATGGTCGAGAAGTTCTATTGTATTTGTGTACGTCTATCATTCCCTTCCTTAGTCATATTTTGTGTTGTATTCCTTTAGTTGTCATGGTGGAGCGCATGATTAAATAGAATTTCCCACGGCTGCTCGTCATTGCTGCGTTAAATCTACTGAGGGATAGTCGTGTTTACATTCTTTTAACCGTTCTCTAAAAGAACCCATCTCGGCTTTCTTTCAACGAGGCAAACAAAGAACAGCTGAGTCGCCACCCCAGGACCCCAAAATAGCATAGGAATTCCCTCTTGACTCCATATTGGGATACCCCCCTCCCCTTTCCCATCGGTGAAACCCTGCCATCTGTGACTCATTGAAGCCTTGATTGATTGACGTTCATTTCCACTGCCACAGACGTCAGCGGAGCTGCTTCATTCACCCTAGTTCCGCCCTGTGATTGGCCGGCTGGCGCACTTGCCCTCGTTTGTGATTTGCCACAACAAACTCCGCTTCGCCTCGTATACGGAGTCATGTGGAGATAACAGGAACCACGTCTACACCACGAGCGCAGATGGAAGAGAAGAGGAGGAGGAGGAGAGGGAAAAAAAGCGAACAGGTGTTTCTAGGTCGTTGGCAGGTTAGTCATCGTGAATTTATCGCGGATCTGGCTGCAGTAGGTCAGTTGAGACTAGTTGCTTGTCTGGTGTCTGAGTGAGGATGTGTGTTCACTCTACCTTCAGCTAACGCGGACTATGATCTTTCTAGATTGTTTCCAGTGGGAATATATTAATTAACGATCGTTATTTCTTCTTGGAATACATTAAACCCTGTTGACATCAGCAGTTATTATCATATGTGGATTGTACTGGCTTAGTCAGCCTCTTTTTATAGCACAATAGTAAGGAAAGAACACATGAAATTACGAAATCGGATTAGTTTAGTTGATTGGTGAGTATCGCTTTTAGAATGTGTGTAGTTTACATTGTTTACTATTGATGTTTGTAAAATTAATAAGGTAGTTAGATTAATGTCTTCTCCCTGTTGCTGTCGCGGCTGCATTGGGGTGGGTTTGGGGGGGGGGGGGAGGTGGGTAGACATACTGCCCTCTTACAAGCATGTCGTAAAAGGCGATAATTCGTTTTTTTTTTTTTTAGAAGTTAAAGTGCATCTGCCGAGAAGCGACAAATCATCACTCTGCACACTATTAAGCCAGATCTGTAAAACGGATGTGCACGCAACGAGATACAAGTCCAGAAGTAGGCAAACCTCTAGAACTCTCCGATGGAGTTTACAGCCTGTAAATCTTAAGAAGAAGAATATTAGTGACTGAATATTCGCATCGGGTACCGGGTCGCCCACTGGCTCGCCGGTGGACGACTTTGTCCCCTGTCGGGTCAGTAGTAAGGTCTGTCTCCTTTGATCGCATCAACACTGTAGGATGCTTTTTCAAGGCGTTTGGTGGCGTGCAACTGCTAAGTCATTTCAGATGGCGCAAATAATAAAGTCACAAATATAACCTAAAGCTCCGCCTTCGGGGATGCTGGTTTAATGTGACGATTTTTTGTGTCTAGCAAAGCAAGCAAGACTGAATGTTCCACGTGAGTATATTAAATTATGTAGCAATAGTTGTACTTTATTTCAAAATGGATGCTTGGCAATTTTCAGAACTCTGTGGTAAGACACAATTTATTAAGTTTAACATTTCACCTTCGAGTGGCAGTGTCTGCTTTATGCCCACTTTGCCTGTAGTGGTTATACAAAATAATATCCAGTTCAATCTTTTGAGGTTACAGTTCAGATACAGAGAATTTTCTTCTGATGTAATGGATCATCCCCATTATCATCATCATCATGAAGCACGACCTTTGAGAACGTCGCTCTGATTACGGTCTGTTTGAAATAAACTCGGTCTTCGGCAACTCTTCCACTTTCATATCCAAAAGGTCACTTATACACATCCCTTGGACTTATACCCTTCCCCGTGTGGGCTCCGGGGCCCCATTCTGGGGGTGGGGGGGGGGGACAAGAATAGACCCATTTGCCTGCACAAAAAGCATGTCGTAAGAGTCGACTAATTGGGAGCTTCCTTAAAAGTTGGACTACATCTGCATGAAAGGCAGGGCACCAACAGTCTGCATGCAAATTAGTCCTACCTGTGAAACGGATGTACACGCAATACTCAGGTTCTGGATCAGGACTGGAGTCCAGAAATGGATGAACAACCAGAACTTTCCGCTGGAGGTTTGCAGACAGTGAACGCCAAGAAAAGAAGATTTATACCCTGTGCCCATGTTCTATCGGTGGGCCTGAGACACCTCCTCCATGGTACCAAGCCTTCTGCTTTTTATCTTGTGGCCCTTAATATGGAAACAAATATTTCAGTTCCCGAGACAGATGATGCTTATTAGTCCTTGATAATCAAATCTTATGGGAAACAGATATATTAATAAAATGTGTCAGAAGAAGAAAGAAGAAGTTTGAACTGATAATGTATATTAGGCTTTGTGTGTGTGCGCGCGCGTCTATGTGTGTGTGTCGGTTATAACTTTTTCAGTACCTCATATATTACTGTTTATAGTATCAGTTGCAACCCTTGGAAATAATTAACATTTTATTATTTAAAACAGAATATTAATTATTGCTCCCATATAAGTCCTAATTCGTCGCGATCTTTAAGGGCTCATGTATGTAACGTTTCCTGACTCTGTCAGTATGGAAACTCATTGATGACTGCTGACGAATGGGAGGGGTGTGTGGGGTTTTGTGAGGATTGCAGTGATGTCAGTTCTTGATTCATTCATTCATTTCATTCATTCGTTCGTTTCTTTAATTCATCTATACATTTCATTCATTCACCCATTCGTTGATTTGGTTAATTTATTCATTTCAGTAATTTATTTATTTCATTGACTAATTTCAATAATTCATTCATTCGTTCAGGAGCCGCCTTGATGTAGCGGCTAGATGCTCGTCTGCAGATCGGAAGGTCATGGGTTCGGTTTCCCAGGTTGACTCAGCCTTGAGTGGGTACCAGGTGCAGTCCTGGGAAGTAAAGGTGGTCGGCGTAATGCTGACTACATCACCCATCAAGTACCGTTCGGTCTATAAAATATAGGTCTAGCCCTATATACCTATTACGCTTGAAAGGCGTAAAAAAGGGGTCCTTTACTTTACTTTTATTCATTTGTTTAATTCTTTTATTAAAAGTATTAATTTATTCAGTACATGTAATTTAGATATCCCGGATATATATGTATATATACACTTACAGGTGGACGGTATTGTCGGAAAACTGGCCAGCACCTTCCGTGTGTTGTCAGATCACTTGGGAGTCTCACCTGCCGCTGTTCAATGAAGTGTGTGCGTGACGACTGCGTGTGTAGATAATGATGTCACCGACCGGCGCGGTTGTCATCCAGTGGTTGACAGCGCTGGTCCGGTGATGGTGGTTTCGCGGTAAGAAGTCGCCGTGTGTCAGTCCATCGCTCCGTGCTCAGATCAAAGCCACCAGCACATCTGCCAGCCCAGCAGCGTTGGACAACAGCAGCCGCAGTAACAAACTGGATAACCACCACAACGGCCAAATGCCAGAAGCAGGAGATGTATCGGTTCTGGCCCCTCTCCATCACACCACATCTGGACTGGGAAACAGCTGGAATGCTCGGCGACACCTGAAGCTCAATTTGAACATTTCCCAGTGCCACCATGGAGGAGGTGCCTCCTACAACGCGGCTAATTTAGGCGGCCGTCTAGTCACCTCTCCGGGTAGGCCTCCCAGACTTGGCATTGCTGTTGAAGACGCTCATATGAACTCGAAAAAATCCAAACTCGAAATATGTAAGATACCATTCTCGACATCCGCCTCGTCTTTGCCAGGGAGCCCACATCATCACCACCACCACATCAACCTCCACAATCATCAGCTGAACCGGAACAGTCCCGGAGGCTCATCTCCGTGCGGAAATAGAATCATCTACACTGACGTTGCCCATTACCAACAGACTTTCTCCTCGTCGAAATCGTCGTCATATTCCGTTTCCTGCAGCACTAATGCTTCCACTTCAGCGTCTGCGCAGCAGAAGACCACCCCAGCCTCCTCCCCTACGACGGCATTTATCAACAGGATATCACCCTTGGCCAGCCCTGTGGTTTCCAACTGCGGGTTTGGCATCGCCTGTAGCGCCATCTCTTGCTCACCGCCGTCGTTTGCCTCCTGGCCCAAAGCGAAATTAAAATACATGAGCTCTGAGGAACTGGCGTCAGCCGTCAGCAGATCCAAACCCGTTCTCATCATAGACATCCGCTCGCCACAATCATACCGTCGCAACCACATCCAAGGAGCAGTTAATTTATCATGCGTGGATAACTTACAAAGACGGCGGATTCAGATGGGAAAGAGCTCCGTTTTTGACATTCTGGGCATGAAGGATGCTAGTTCACAGACATCGTCCTCGCCGTTTTCCAAAAGAAAATCAGTGACCGGCAGCAGTATGGATATAGTTGTCTACGACGACCACACGACAGTTCAGGACCTCACTGAGCCAGCACAGGATGCGGCTTTGAGCAGTGTGCTGACCTCTTTGTTGAGAGATGGGAAGGATGTTCACGTTCTCAGTGGTAAGAGATTTTACATTTGTCTATACACTGGTGTCAAATTGTACTACGTGGCTACCTGATCCAGATTTCAGATCAGCTGTCGTAAAAAAAGGGTTGGGAAAAAAAGGGGGGTGGGATAGGATAGATCATTTACTCCTTCTTCTTCTTCTTTTTCTTCTTCTCTTCCACCTTGTACCTCGGTGAAGTGTCGGGGGAGATGTAAGGTTCGTTGATAAACTCTTTAGGAGCACTATTAAGATTGCTATTTATTTATGTATGCCATCATTTCATATTTTCAGAGCTCTTCCGCTCGCTCTATACCAATTGTAACGTTTTAGTGTGGCTCGCTGTTGCAGATAGGACCAGGGCATTCTTGTTTGGTGTCCAGGCCACTTTATTTGTTGTTCTATGATTACCTATAAGACTGGTTTTATTCCTAGCAATCAGTTGCAGTTTGTTTGAAAAAAAATCGTCTGATTTCATGATTTTGTATTCTGTCTTTCCTTGAAACTCCGGCAGCTCTTCTAAGGCATTTCATCTATGTTGTCACAATTTTACGTATTTACAACACTAGTACCCATTTCAGACTGGGTCGACCTGGGAGCTAATGTCATTTTTAAAAAAGTCCTGCTACGCCGGGGACCTGAACCCACGGCCTTCCGATCCACAGGCTAGCGTCTGGTCGCTACACCACAGCGGTTGTCTTGAGTGTATGTGTGTATATCTGTAACTGTACATGTATCTCTCTCTCTCTCTGTCTCTCTCTCTCTCTATATATATATATATATATATATATGTGTGTGTGTGTGTGTGTGTGTGTGTGTAGTGTATACCAACCCCCTCCCCAACAATCCTCACTAGGTGCCAGAGGACCTGTCCAAGCCACTAGTTTTTGGTGCAGTTAACATTTTTAGCCAACATAAGTGGCTCAAAGAAACCAGACCATAGTTATAACCGATACTGATCGCAGTAGGTTGAACGTGATAGATTTTTGTTTGTTTTTGTTTTTCATAAATGAATGGATGTATTAGGGTGGGGGGCGGTATAACTGGTGTTGGATCGAACAGGGCTTCTGGGATTCTCTTCCTTTAGGGGTTAATCCTACAAACTGCAATCCTTGAGCGAACAGAATACCTGACTACCTATCAAATTCTACTTCTCATTCTTCCTCTTCTTCTTGTAAAAAGGATGTGCACGCCACACTCAAGTTCTTGCTTCGCCGTGTGTAACCTCGTGCTGAAAAACAGCTTCAGCAGGGCTGTTTTCGCAAAAAAACCTTTTTCTGTGAACCGTAGATCTTGGACGCCGAAGGCGCCTGCATGTGAAGAAGAAATACTGCATAGGGAGCGCCTAAGGAGTGACGCTTAGTGAGTATTGAATCACTGAAGACTTTGTATTAATACGCTCGTTGGTTGTGGCTGTCATAGCTGGTGGATCTGCTTGAAACGGTCAAAACAAAGAACACCTGACACCCCTTGATTATAGGAGTGTCCCGGAAAATCCCCTACACAATCACGAGGCCGACGAGATGGAGTGACTTTCGTGAATTGTACCAAAGAAGAAGGAGGACGAGGAAAAGAGGGGAAAAAAGAATGAGAAGAAGACTTTATTTCTCATTATGTACATACAGTAGTCTGTCTGCTATTCCGCAACCTAACCTTTGACACATAGACCTTGACTCTGCGATGCAGAACATGTAGTTCATAAACAGGAAAGGGGAATCCTTGTGTTAAAAATACACAGGAAATTGTGTACTCTCAAGGTCATTCTTCCGTGCATGATCTCTGCACACCGGAAACCTCCCAGGTCAGAGTCTGTGCACTTGACTGCAGCGTGCCAAATTCCTAGGGTGACCAAGAGACTGGATGCCTGCCTGCAGCCGACACACCAGATACATGGTCGGCATTTGGGCAGGGGTACTGACACACGTAGCGGCGTCCGTGGCTAAGACGTTGCGAGACTGACTCCTAATCCAACGTACCGCGATCGAAACCTGCGTGGGCTGCGTGGATTTTTATCGTGGTATGGGACGTCGCAGGTCGACCCAGCCTCAAATGGGTACCAGGATGGGCTGTCCTGGGAAAGTAAAGACGGCCGGCGTAATGCTGACCACATTACCCACTGAGTGCCGATTGGTCTGTAAAAATATGGGTGCTCTTCCCATATGCCCGATGCGCCTAAGGGCGTTTAGAGGGATCTTTACTTTACTTTACTTTACTTACTGACACACGTGGACACGATGTGAAAAAAAAAGGGGGGGGGGGCTGTTGAGCCTCCTTAAACATTTTCTTCCGGAGGTAATCGATCAGCCTTCTTTAAATGCCTAATAATAATATTGAGCTAAATGGCAAATTTTACAGGTATAAGCAAAAGGTACTTTCATTTTAGTTTACCCGATCCTCTGAGAATTCGACAGTTCCAGAGAAAAGTCTAATATTAATAGGGGTGTTACGGTGTGAAATGAGCACCGACTAACTCTAACCCTAACTCACCCCCTCTCCCCATACTATTGGACTTTACCCAGGAACTCTAGGATTCCCCGATATGGGGTAAACTAAAATAAAAGTACCTAAATAGAATTCTGAAACAGAACTGTTATATATGTTTGAGAGGTCGAAAGTTGTATGAAGAGTTGATTGTTCAGTGAGCGCTCGCGTGTGGATGTAGAGCGTACGGATGATTGCGTCGGTATCGATCCGTTTGGCAATGTGAATAGAAAGCTTACAGTAAGTTGTCTGCCCTTTATAGGGCCTCGTAGAACAACCCCAGCAATTTTGTGTCTGTCTGTCACTTTCTAAGTGATTTAACGTTCAGTAGTTTGTCATTCCACTGGAGGGTCGACTCTTGATCGCAGAACAATCCCAACAATTTGTGTCTGTCTGTCACTTTCTAAGTGATTTAACGTTCTGTAGTTTGTCATTCCACTGGAGGTCAACTCCTAATACCACTGTCGAAATCTACGCAAGGCGGTCAGCTTCCAGATCACCTGCAGCTAGGGTTTAACCTGACACAGCGGCAGTCCGAAGCACGTCCGAAGCACGTTCGCAACGCATACGCCACAAACATTTACCAGGCGCTATGAAAGTCGTGGGTTCCTTTTCACAACTGTGTTGTTCAGTTCACCAGTGCAATCTTTACGGAGATCCCTGGGGTACGTCGCCGATGCTCTGTGCCACGCCCACGGCATGCCCTATAGCCGTTCTGCAGAGAGAGACCGAGCTATTTGGGATAAAACCAAATTCAGTGAAGTCGATCCTCCTGCCTTTAACCGTTAACAAACTCCGACGAAGACAAGAAAATTGGAACATTACCATAAAGCAGGTCCTTTGCAGAACGTTGCTCTCATCCCAGTCTGGCTTAAAAAACCTGGGTCTCTCGCCAGCTCTCTTGCCTCGTTGCGCTATCATATCCAAGAAGTCGCTTATATCTTGTGCCCATCTTCTTGTTGGTCGGCCCCTGCCCATCATTCTTGGCGCCATAGAAGTTAGTTGCGTTTTCTTTACATGGCGTTGCAGAACCAATCTGGGCATATTATTTTGTGTCGCTGTTGTGGTTTTCTAGGCAGCGGTTGTCTAAATGGTCAGCTCTCGGTACCTCTGTCGGAACCAACCCAAGACAAATCGTCCACAACTGGGATTGATCCCGGCACCCCGGCATTACGAAGCACGTTCGCAACGCCTAAGCCACAGACGCAAACTCTTGGTGCCATACATTTTGCTGTTATCTTTTCCTCAATCCGCCTTGACGCTTGATTTGGCCAAAGTATTGTAGCTTCAGAATGAGAAAATACAATACATTGTATCGGTCTTTATGAAACTGGGACAGCCACACACCCCCCCCCCCCCCCCCCGTGAGGGAGGCGGAGTAAGGGAAAATACTCTACTGGAATGGAAAGCAGAGAAGTGTTTATGTTCAAGGCGGCCGATCAAGGAAGTCTTCGGGGAAATAGAGCAGGAAGTGTAAAACAGTCTACAGAGCAGATCATAGTGATCAACAGTATAAATGGTAGGAAAATAGAAATGTAACCAATTTAGTGGATAGACAGATAGGTAGGCAGACAGACAGACAGACAGACGGATGGATGGATGGATAAATGGGCAGACGGGCGGACCGACCGACGGAGACGGACCGACGGAGACGGACAGACGAACGGACAGACAGATTTGAATGTTGGATGTGGATGGATTGATGATGTAAAGAAAGAAAAAATAACCAAGCACAACAAGGAGAAACAAAAAGAACAATGTAGGGAGAAGAGAAAAAAAAAAGGTGAGAGAAAAATTAATAAGAAGGAGAGAAAGAATTTTAAAAAAAGGAGCAAAAAGAGAACAAGAAAAGAGGTTGGGGGGGGGGGGGAAAAAAGAAAATACGGAGGAGGAGGAAAATGTGAAGTAAGAGGAGGAAACGGATCTTCTTTGATCACATTAAACGATCCCCGTCAAGTTTCCCGGCCCATCGACACACTTTTTCAGCCTGGTCTAGAGGGGTGTCACATTGTACTGTTTTCTTCGAAAAGAGTCTCTCGTCGGACCTAGACTCAAGCTGTGGGGGGGGGGGGGGGGGGGTTGGGTTAGGGCCAGTTTTAAATGTAGTGGGGGTCATAAATAGTTGTGGCGTTGTGTACTATCGAACACGCGACATCGGCGTTGATGTAATGGGAGACAAGACAAAGTGACACCTTACTGACGTAGAACAGTCTGAGAAAGCATGAATCAGTCAGTCAGTGTGTAGATGGGTCGGAGAACGTGAATAGGACCACATTAAACATCCTGCGCAGTCACGAGTTTGGGAAGTAATCAACGACAAAAAATTTAAATACCCATTGCCCTCTCTTCCATAAAGATTACCTTTCCTACCAATCGTCAATAAGAAATGCTATACAGAAACCTTTACTTACACTTCGGACACAGGTCACATGGGAACCTTGACCCTAAAACCAAAGGTCAACAACAGACACGAAAGGACGCCGACATGTTTTAGGGAGAACGGGAACAGGTGACATTTCAGTGACACATTCCGTT